CGTCGCATAAACAATTACATGGGAAATGAAAGCTTTCCTTCCCAAGGGTATCTTTTGTGACTGATCAGTTGTTTGAGACGTATTAATGATGGTTTCTGTTTTGTTTGTGCTCATCTTTTTGGCTTTGATCATTATTTTAGCAAAATAAAATGATAATTGCTAAAAATGGCTGAAGCACTTCGGAATATTAAATCATAGTATAGTTAAATGAAATTTATTAATATAGTTATACGAATTAAAATATTATATTTGTTATATGTATAGCAATAGTTTTATTCAATAAATTTGCTATAAATCTAAAATTGATGTAAACGTAACTGAAAATAGAATAGACCATATATTTTAAGCATTTTTACAGTAGAATAAATACATAATATAATAATGTTTCTTTATTCTTCTTCAATGTTTCTTTATTTATTATTATTTTTTATTGAATTTAACCAAATTTAATGTAACTTAACTGTAAAAAAATGAATTTATTATTATAAATTCTTGCTAGGTTTAAAGCTACATCGTACATACTACTAATCTAGTACGTACTCGTAGAACCCTCTACAGATCTCGTAGCTAATACACGAGACGCTATAATCAACAGTGCTTTTGACTTTTAAGCATGATCGTATCATTACGTCTAATAAAAAAAAAAACAATATTTTAATAATAATCGTAAAAGTTATATTATTATTTTGACCGACTTAAAGAAAAGGGAGGTACCTTGTCGTTTCACTTTACTAAAGTAAATAAGATAAAAAACGTTTCTAATAGCGGAATTAGTACTTTTAAAGATGAGGTATTTTCAAGTTTAAAACTATTTTTTTCCTTATCTTATTTGCGCCTCATTTGGGTCTTCAGACAGACATATTTAAAACAGATTATAAGAACACGAGCTAAGCCATAGGTAGAAATTGGTAACCGTTAAAATATATATATCTAGGGACGAACCCGAGCAAACTAAGGGTGAGTTGCTATCTTTCTATAATAATCTAATATAAACCTACATTTAACCTCATGTCCCAAACAAATAGCTAGCAAATTGAATAAAAAAAGGTGCGCAAAGGAAATTGAAGAAATATGCTTCCGTCCAAGGGGTAATGGACTGGAGATAAGTTTATTGACTAAAATAAAACTATTTTGCCTCAATAGACTTTACTAAATAGTAAAAATTATGACGACACGTTTGGCTCAGTTTGTAGTGAGCCTACTTGCTGTATCAGCGGTCGGGTTCGAGTGCCACTGGGAGCATTCGTTTGTGTGATGAGCACGAATGTTTGTACTCCAGTCATGGATGTTTATATTTATAATATGTATGTATTTAAAGCTATATATGTGTAGTATATAAACTATCTAGTATCATATCTGTTACCATAGAAGTAGATGGTGCTTTGTGTTAATGTTCCAACATATTTATCTATTTACAATAATTTATTTTTCTTAAAACTCTGCAAGATTCAATTTAAATATTAAATATTATTCATGAAACTTAGTAAATTTTAAAATAACAATCTACAGTATTATTTAATAGCCAGATATTTTTTATTTTATTTTTATGTTTTATGTTTAACACGCTGATTTAGACTTTGTGTGAATAATTCATATATAATAGTTTTAACTGTTTTTGTATCTGACTGACTGATACTATTACTATTCATTTTTCAAGTACTTGCCAGTATTTGACTAAACAGAGATTTGTTGTATTGATATAGTGTGATTACGTATATACCTATGTTATATTGATTAAATATGTGACTTAGGTGATCATACAATATGTATATAAAAGTTCCATAAATAAAGCGGGTTTCATGATGGAGCCGGAAATAACCATAGATCGGAACTATTCCTTTGGCTAATAAATAAAACGTTATTTCATATTAAATATTATACTTGTAAAAAAAATTGACTAACCTCAAAAAAGAAGTGTATTTGTTAACATTAAACAGATTTTCATAATTCTCTTTTAGTGAAAGGCTCTCAATGGTCGGTCGTAATCACATAATTTTAAGCAAAATGTCATCCTGCAATTACGGAATAATTACTTTGAAGTTTGTACACCATTTTATATAATACGTTTTATATATTACATTATGTACACTAGTTATTGATGTACATATCAGTGTATACTTTTCAGTTTTCTTAATATGTTGTGTGTTAATGTTAAATATGTATATAGTAAGTGTGCTAATGAAGTAAATAAATAAATAATAAGTAATTACTTATTCTAAATAACTATATCTTATACCTCATTTTAACTTAACAGGTAAAATATCAAAAATTGCCATTTTACTACTTCATATTGATTAGTCACTTAGATTACTACGAGTATTACCTTTGTCTTAATGATTTGGTCATTTCAACAATTTCCCATAAACACGTACATAGTGAATAAATAAATAACATTTCTACCTGAAATAAAAGGACAGTAAAGGTCGGTGGTCCCGAAAAAGTAGTTAATCGCGTTTAGAGACCGCCTCCTAGCACGAATGGCTTCATTTACGATTTTTATTTCCGGATAGGGATGAGATTGAAATGGTAATGATGTCGATCCTATTATTATTTTAAATTGTATATTTAAAACAGTTGGTAAGAGTGAATGTAAAATTAAAAACTAACTTTTTTTCATTTTCTTTATATACATATATACATATATATATATATATATATATATATATATATATATATATATATATATATATATTAAAATTATATATATATATATATATATAATAAAATTGTAACTGATCGCTATCTGTTCATGGAAGATATTTGAGAAAATCTCTAATCTCAGAAACGGCTTAACCGATTTGAGTGCGGTTTTCACTAGTGTATTATGGTAAGCTTCACTTAATTTTAGTGTTTGATTTAATATTATATAAACGATTATTTACAATGAAAAATATATAATTAATATCTCATCACTCTTCGGCCAAACACTTATCTCTAAGCAATAAAATATTAAAATTCGCTACCCTGTTACGGTTTGAAATATTCACGAACCAACAAACACAATATTTTGCAATCATAATATTTTTAAGAATAAATAAAAGGAAAAAGAAATTTAAACTTTTTCATATTTTCATAAGCTTCTAGCACATCACTAGATGTAATAAGCGCTATCGGTGTATTGAGATTAACTCGCTTTTATAGCTCAGGTTAGTGTACATTAAATTTAACGATTCTACTTCATTGGTCCATTGCTCTAAATTGGATCAGACAAAGATGCGAACGTCATTTGAATTGTTTATTTTGTAAAACGAAAAACAAAGCAATAACAATCACTGTAGTAATTAAAGGTAATGTTTCTATTTTTGTCGTCTCTCGATTGCTTTTAAGTTCAATTGATATGTCAATAAATGTTTCAGAGAACTTAACAAGTTTACAAAATACATGGTGAAATCTGCCAAGCCGCACTTGCCCAGCGTGGTGGACTATGCCTGATCGTCAGCATATTGAAGGTAGACCTGTGCTCAGCATTGGGACGATAAAAAGAGCTAAATACAATATATGTAAGCCTTACAGAATTACGAGTATTATCAATAATAATAATAAACTAGTAACACTCGCTTCGCTCAGATGCATTCCTAGGGTTTGGAAGCCTATGTAACGCTCCAAGTCTATGTGTCTACTAAATATTCAAACTCAAACAGCCGTTTCAGCGAAACAAACATACAAACAAACATACAAACTTTCACATTTATAAATGTTGTCCAATAATATTTGTTTGTAAAGAAATCTATATGTAAGAAATCAACAGGAATAGAACGCCAGTAAATATTCATATATGAACTATTTTTGTAATTGTTTAATATAACACTAACACAGAAAGTAAGAATATGTTTATTTATTTTATATGCACAGAATAAATATCTGCGACTACTAAACTGATAAAAAAAAATGAGTACAAGTTATAAGTAGACCTACCCATGCTCTATGATATAGAAATAACTTTTGATTTTTATTGAAAAAACCTTCCTTCACAACGTTAAAACACGTTTAATTGTAGCAGAATAATTTATGGAAATACCGTTGGCCGAAATCATGAAACCAACTTCAAACTTTTAATAGATCTTTAACCAAATCTCATCTTATCCTTTAACCCATGACGAAATTACGTAAGTCTTTTAGCAGTAAAATCGCTCATAAAGACCATTTTATAATAGGATCGTAAAGCTGACTTCAATTGGATAAGGGCGGTCCCCGGAGGCACTTTTTCTAATTTTACGATTTGCTTCTGTGTCGTTAGTAAAAAATGCTAGAACACCTGCGTTTTTACGTAATGTATTAGTAATATATACGTACTGAAATATCACTGTCGTATGTAATTTACTTGAGAAACTTCTAATATTAAATCCGTGGAAAAAGCATTACCGACTAGCATTACCCACGACTTCGCCCGCATTCAGATGACCAAAAACCAAATTCTTAGGTTTTACATATTACTATATTCTTACAATGCAGTTTTTGTATCTTTTCTCAGAAATGAGATATTTTCCCGCGGTAAAAAGTATCCTATATGTTGACCCGGATAACCAGCTATCATCATACCAAACATCAATATCTGTCCAGTGGTTTTCTCGCGATGCGGTAACAGACAGACAGACAGACAGACAAAAATTCTAAAAACTATAGATTCGGACTCTGTATCGACAATAATGTCTATTTAAATTAGATTTTCAAAAAAATATTTAATGTACAGATTCGACTTAGTTACAATTTTATTATATGTATAGATTGCATTTGCGCACAAAAAATATCTACTCAATATCTGCTAATATTTTTGGCGAAGATCCCTGGTCTAAGCGAGCCGCTTTGATCGCAATTCGGTCCTAACATATACTCGTAGGTACTCATAGGAAATGAAAGAATCAAAAAATAGTAAAACATTTTTTCACGTATTACTTTAAGTACTATTATTATACTTTTTGGCCAACTTTTAAATTGTAAATTGTATGGCTGTATCTTTGTGTTACGCAAAATTCTCTGCTAATAGCAGTAGATTATACTTACTCAAGAGTAGTCCTGTAAAAATAAAAAAAAACCTTTCGTAAGTATTGGATATTAACTATTAATAGGTGATTTTCAGTGTTTTTGAATTCTTCTTTATTTTTAACTAACTATACCTTACATGATTTTTCAAATCTGTATATCTTAATAAAGTATAGATTTGGACAAATAACTCTATATATGACATCATTACTGTGGTCAACTGAACCACAATTTCCTGACCATTTTTAATCAAGCCGAAGTCGATTGAGTTCTACTCATGCGTTTAATTAGTCGCAGAAAGCTGGGGTGATTTTGATTACATTGATAATTGTTTTTTAACATATGTATGTGAAACGTCACCAAAAAGCAAAGAGAGGGTTTGTTTAGGCTTAAGAATAGAACAAACAATGTCTCTTATGTTATAGAGTTCGATTGAATTATTTTATTTTTTGGTATATTTCTAAAAAAATGACTTATTTTACATAAGAAAAGAAAGCCTTTAAAAAATCTACTATATAACTTAATTTTTGGCTTTTTAAATAAAACTATCTTTTCGAATTATTTCGCGAATTTATTTTGATTTTTGGTTCCCGCCGTTTTGAATGCTTTACAGCAATCATGGTCACGGGAGAGACTAAGATTATAGACTCTCAAAGGCGTTATACACTTGTTACAGACAGTCTAAGAAAGTATTTCATTGTTATATGAAAACACGTTTGGCTCAGTTTGTAGTGACCCTAGTTGCTGTGCCAGCGGTCGTGGGTTCGAGTCCCGCTGGTGATTCATTTGTGTGATGAGCACAAATGTTTGTACTTTAGCCATATGTGTTCATGTTTATAATATGTATTAGTAGTAGGTATTTAAATTTATATATGTGTAGTGTATCTACTATCTGGTATCCATAACACAAGCCTCATCTTAGCATGGAACTAGATTGTACTGTGTGTTAATGTACCATCATATTCTATTTATGTATTGTTCTCACAGTCACTAGCTTTGCAAATGCAATACAAGCTTCTGATTAAAATAAAATATTACATCATATTAAAATGAAGTTAAAAAGAGAAAATTAAGATCCGTATTTCTATTAAATCACCGCACTTAAGCTAGAATTTTATTTATGCCGTACCTCAATAATGCTTCGATCATTCATTGCGAATATATGGAAAGACGACAATAAAAGGGGTATTCCATCAAATCCATTCAAACAATAGATATAAAACAAGCCGACTGGAACACCCTTTGAACGCCGATTCAGCAGTCGTCACGCCTGTCTACTTTACAGGGTGTTCACTTCCTTGATTTTAAAATAAAAAATCATATGTTTTTTTTTCATACTACTATTACAAATGCGAAAGTTTGTACGTGTATGTATATGTTTGTTACTCTCTAACTCTGAAATGGGTCGATGGATTTGGATGTTTATTACACAGTTAGACTATGGTCTTTTTTAAAGGGATTTTTTTGTATTTACTTATAGCACCTGCATACGTACAAGTGATGTGACACTTCTTCGACTAGAAAAGTCGTATTACCAGAGGGCAAAAGTCAACCGTTCCCGTCTTAATAGAGCATCAATCACGCACTAAACCACGGATGTATATATGATCTGGAGTAACACAAATGCACCTACGGACACACTAATAAATACGACATGAACTGTAATATGTTTTTACTGTGTTTCTACGAATCAAATATTATAAAAGTTAATATAAATTTTTATTATTCAATGGGACTTAAACTATAAACGAAAGATTTTTTGCCAGTTGTCGTTCATGCAACTATATACTTATAACTACAGGTACTTTATAGTACAGGTATTTTTAAACGTGGATATACATAGTTTTTTTTATTATAAAAAGTAAAGAAAAAATAAGTAATAATAAATATTGCAGATATTACCCGAATAAAGCGTAAGTAATACCTAAAATTTGAGATAATAAAAGTTTTAAGAACACACTATAATATACATGAATATAAGAAATTCCAGGGACTTGAAACTCAATGTCCAGAAAGAAATCAATCACTCATCGTGGCACCTGAGATAAGTCAAAACACCTGAGCTAAGTTTTATATGTATTCTGTATGTATTATATTTTTAAAATATATAGGGTAGGGCAATCAAATTTTAATTTATTATAAAATTAACGATTTGGCTCTTTTAATGTGCCACTGGTGGACAGGGATTCTTAATATAAAGTAAGTTATGTGGTCCACAACGCTGATCAAAATAGGTGCTTTAGCGGAATTTTTTGACTTTAACCATATTTTTTTCATTTTAATTCATTTTTCTTGTAAAATTATGAATATATTTAATTAAATACACAAAACAAATGTATATCCTAATATTACTGCAAAAATCTTATCCGCAAGGAGTTCTAGCAAGAATGCTTGAGGTATTCCACATTGAATGCTGAAAACTAGTTAAATTATAAAGAAGTTTTATGATGTTTTAATCACTTCACCTTAGAGCTGAGACTAAAGGTAATTCTACAATCGGTAAAAAATCTATAAATCTATAAAATATATTATAACGACATAATATTATTATGATAATTCTATGACATAATTTTGATATTAAATTTTTAAATCTATCCATCCATATATGAGATGTACATGCACAAAATATACTAGGCAAGCGAGATTCGGTGTTTGAATCCATTTCACCCTGTTCAAAGTTCAAAGCGAAAGCGCTTTTAATTATCTTATTTTAATGTAATTAAAATTTAATTTTGTGAAATATCCTAAATTCTTAAGATATTTTTTTTATTTTAAATTACATAATATTAGTGTTTAAAAATACAAAAGTTAAATATAATACTAATATTATAATAGTCATGATGGTTATTCGTTAATCATTTCTTATAACACAGATAGTTGATACACTACACATATATAATATTAAATACACATATATTATAATATATATAAATACCTATGACTGAAGTACACACATTCGTGCTTATTACACAAATGAAGCCACGCTAGCGGGACTCGAACCCACGACCGCTGGCACAGTAAGTAGGGTCACTACTCACTACAAACTGAGCCAAACGTGTCATCAAAAATAAATTAATCTATATTATTTATTACTCCTGGCAAATATATATTAAAGTTTCTTTGTTTTATTGGTCAGTATCGTGCTTATGATGGCGTGCGGGAACACACTTTGTTACAATCTAGACGTTAGCTAATTTAGTTTATAGCGATCTATTGCGCTTTAAAGTTAGTGTTATATTTTAAAAGTGTTTATAATGAAAGCTTATTTGAAACTTCTTGTAGGATATTAGTTTAATTAATTTTTGTTTTAAATTTCACATAAAACTATCTTTTCGGATTTTTTCGCGGATTTATTTTGATTTTTGGTTCCTGACGTTTCGAATACTTTACACCAATCATGGTCACAGAAGAGACGTGACCATGATTGTAAAAGAAAGTATTTTGTTTTAAAGTTTGTAGAAATACTTGGTCATTTTATGTTCCACAATAAGCCATACATAGCGGATAGGTGGAAATTGGTGGGAAAAGTGAAATAAAGACGAAATGGCTAGGGGTAGGTTACATGTGGTAAGGGTGTCAGGGTTCAAAAGAAATAAAAACCTAACATGGTACTAATACAGGAGCTACGATATTATGTATAATATTTCTTTACTCGATATAAACATGTTTATACATGACTGATTATTATTAAAAATAAGATCTACGAGAAAATTGTGAAAATATATCACACTGTAGTATTTTTGTTTAGAATAATATTTTTAAAAACATATATAATATATAAAGTAAATAAGATTATGTAGATATTTTCATGGTCGTTCATACGGTGGTGGCACAACTTCTTTAGAAGGCGGATCGCAAATTCTAGGCATTTTCTGATATCCTCGCAGGTTTGTTAAGAAATCGTGGATTGGTACTAGTCTTTCTGATGAGACACCCTAGAAAATATAACATTAATTTATACTTAAATAATGAAAAAATATATGAAATTGGGTTATGATTGGAATTAATATAAAATAAATAGCTATACGGCATTTTTTTTTATTAAACTCTAACTCGTTATCAACTATTTAAAAGAAATAGGTGGCATAGTTGCAAAATATTAAATATCTGTGCATCTATGCAGCTTATGTAATAATAACTCTTACAAAATTCTATAGTGTTGTTATATTGTAAATATTGTATATAAAATAAACGTAATTATTAATTATATATATATTGACATTATTAATTAAACAAAAACTACTTACAAGCTTACTACGAATAACAAATATGACCAATATTCCAATAAAAATCGAATCTATATATAAGTGTTTCAAATTAAATAAAGATATAATAATAATTTTTATATAATAAAATATTTTTTTATCGGAAAAGTTGTAAAAATTGAGTTTATTTTAGAAAGAAATACCAATATAGTTAAAAATCCTTATCTAAATACAAAATTTAATCCAAATCGTTAGAGCCGTTTGCAAGAAACATATAATTTTATATTTATGTAAGAATTGCTTGTACATGTTTTTATATATAACGTCATAATCTTACTTCCGTTCGTCGATAAATAACAGCCGATATAAGTCTGCCCCATAGAATTTGGACTAAATACGGTCCAAACTCATCATTGGATTCCATTAAATGCAATTGCATACCAGTCCCTAGTGCTTCAGCGTCAGCTAAAATAAAATACATATTTGAAATAACATTTAATATGAAATATAACTTTCGCCCGTGAATTCGCTTGCTCGTTTTATCAATAAAAAATAGCCTTTTTACCCTTTCGCCTTACTTGAAGCCTTTAACCACCAGTAAAAGTTGTGGTAAATCTATTAACCCATTCTTCTATTAAAAATTAAATTAGGTTTTTTGCGGAATGGAAAAAAATATATTAACAGATTCAATCCAAAAAAAGCTTTAAAATCGTAAAAATGAGACCCTTATGAGTGAAATATTTTATCTATATTCGTAATATAATCTTCTTTATAAATAAAAATGGATGTTCGTATGTTTGTCCTCTATGCGTTCTTAAATCATTGATCTGAATGTGATGAAACTCTGGTGGGTTACTCTGTATACGCCTGTGGAGGTTTCTGGCGTAAAAAAGAATTTATCTTTGTTTTTATTTTGTGTCTAAGCGTTATTCTTTTTAACCATTCAAATTTTATACATAATTAAAATGTAACTAAGCTGAATCTGTACATTAGGTTTTTTTTTGGAAAATCTTATTGAAATAAACATTATTATCGATACAAATGCCGAATCTATAGTTTTTAGAATTTTTGTCTGTCTTTCTGTCTATCTGTTACCGCATCACAAAAAAACCACTGGAGGGATTTTGATGAAATTTGGTATGGTGATAGCTGGTTATTCGGGTCAACATTAGGGATACTTTTTACCGCGGGGAATTCTCATTTCTGAGAAAAAATACAAAAACTGAATTGTAAGAGTATACTAATATGTAAAGCCTAAGTATTTGGTTTTTGGTCATCTGAACGCAGGCGGAGCCGCGGGCAATGCTAGTACTGTATATAAGTGTAGATTTTTTGGTAAAGAATAAGTGTATTTCTGAAATACCAAAATTAAATACTTTACTTACCAATCCTGGAATTATTAGTTTCTAAAGAGAAAAGCTGTTTAAAACATCCATTTATTCCGGGTATAGATTTTGACCATATATCAAAAGGCTTTTCGGAATGATACCTTTGTCTTATTATAGTTCCTTTAATTCTATCTATTAACTCTTGACTTGGCGATTCAAATTTCCTACTTACTAGCCATCTGAGTCCAGCCTTAAAAGATTAAAGTATATCTATACAGATAAATAAAATTGACATGTCTGTTTGTAAAGTCAAAATAACAGATTTTTATAAAATTCATATGAAATTATATATGGTACTTATAAGAAAAACAATTTTGTCTATAAAACTATTAAATTCATAATATTAGTAAGAAGATAATAATTATTATTTAGGTTTACGTAAATTTTGACATTTTAAACAGAACATTTTTTTTTCACGAATTTATTTTGATTTTTTCCCGTCCCCGTTCCCGGCGTTCCCCAAACTAAAATAAATCCATGAAAAATTCCATAAATGGTTAAATATTTACTGAAATATTAGAAAGTGTTCATTATTTAATAGCTTACCTCATCAGTTTCACTAATGTCCATTTTATAGCACGAGATTTGTCTCAACCTTGGAAACCCTCTATCTGGTACAAGAGCTACTACAAACCAAGTTCCCAGAACATCAGTAATGTTATAATTCGCTTGATACCCATTACACTGATGTAACTTATCTTTTTCACCTTGAGTTACAGAACTTGCAAAATATATAATGTAAAGAAGGACGAAAAACGGTGTCATGATGCTAGCACTTCCTTCGGAGGAGTGGACGCTAGCTAGAACCCTTCTGTCTGTATTAATTGCTTAGAGTTAGAGATGTTTAGAGGTGACATTGTGTTATTTAAATAATTAAGATATTACAACAAGTATTATTTTTTGCTTAGAAAATTGATTATGGCTATTTTAATGCTATCAATACCGAAGCATCATAAGCTTTTCAATAACTCTCTAAAATAACTACTCTCTCTAAATAAGATCTAGACAAATCTTACACTTCTATAAATTTTCGAAAAAAGTATACTTATATTATTATTTGTCAATAATATAATCATACTCTTGAAAATAAATGTAATTAAAAATAAACTGCTCATTTTACTACCGCAGACATTTTGCGTAATTTTTAGGGGTCGCTTTCTTTCCTATTGGAAAAGTATAATTTGTTTCATAACAATGCTGAAGATGCCACTGCTTATTGTAAAAAAATTAAATGTTAATCAGTTTATTTAAGTGATATACAATATTATCTCCGTTTCTTAATAACTTTAAAAAAATCGATTATGATGTAAATTACACGGAGAGAAATTAGCATTGCATTTCCTATGAGAATCCTATTATAGCTATGAAAATATCATAAAATATATTTTTTTTCTGTCCTGTCTATATCTTATAAGGCGTTGACTGAGTTCAAGTACAAAATTAGGTGTGATGAGAGTTGTTTCTTGAATAGGATAATTCCAATTTGCACTCGACATGCACATTTCAAACTACGAATACATTCATTGAGTCTCATTGTGACCCTACAGAAATTATGAGTTCACTTAAGATTTGACATTCGTCAACTAAATTACTATTATACCTATTTACTTTTTCCTATGGTTATGTTTTAATTTTTATAGTAAATGCAGGAGTGCACTTATACTTTTATTTCTATATATCAATGTAAATTACTCTAAAATCTAGTACATACATGAAGAATTCTTATGTAATAATTGAAGTGCTATTTCATTTTGATTGTTGGTTTCCGCGAAAAAATCTGAAAAGATAGTTTTATTTAAAACTAGCGTCTCACCCTCGCTTCGCTCGGGTTCGTCCCTGCCTTGCTTCCCAATACAAACTTTCATCCACATTTCACCCCCTTATAGGATGATTTCCGGGATAAAAAGTATCCTATGTCCTTCTCAGGGTCTCAAACTATCTTTTTACCAAATTTCATCTAAATAGATTCACTATATCCATAGATTACCCCCTACAACCTCACAAACTATACCTCTTTATAATATTAGTATAGATATCAAATATTAGCGTAAATCTAAGAAAGTGAAACCTGTTTACCGAAATATACTGAATTAATACTTTTTCGGAAAAAAAAAACATTTATAATAGGTACTCAGTACCAACTAAGTACTAGACCAATATTAAAACTTAAAAATCTCAAACTATAACAAAAAATGACCATCTAACTTCAAAATTAAAAAAAAAATACATACATTAAATATTAAACTGTCTTTTCCAAAAGTAAGACTGTCACTTTAATATATTGAAAATATTTTCACCATCGATGTTTTCGTACCATTGAACAAACCATTATCAATACCCACCGGACTCGCGGACACTCCGTGAATATATTCAAAATGTCGTTTTCTTAAAAATATTCCCCATTACGTCTCTTAATCCATTCGAAGACGCCGAAATATTCGTCTTTCTTAGCGAAAATACGGTCATTGTTTAAAAAGTCAAAACCTACATAGATTTACTTGAACAAAGGCAGTAAAAACGGTTTATGGACTTGTTATTGCCGTCCCAATGGACAGGTTGTGTGGTGTCTTGGACTAGAAAAGGAGATTTTATACTCAGTGTTCTGTTTGTTTTATAAATTTCAAATTATATCTATCAAGGGATAAGTAAATTGCACTAACGTTAAGGAGTTGCTGCTTTTCTGGTGGAGGATGAGAGGAATTAGAGTATATTTAGTTCTGTGCATTTAGTCCTGACTAGCAACTAGGTATTTTTTCAATTTTTTTGAGCGGAACCCTAATTATTTTTATTAAAAAAAAGAAGCCAGTGAAGTCCCATCAAAATCAGTTCAGCCATTTTGGAGACTAGCCAGAACAAACATATCTGTTTGTTTACAAGAATTTTAAAAATTGTGTTTTTCTTATATGTACATATGTAATTTTATTTGAATTTAGTAGAACGCTGTTATTTTGACATTACAAAGACATTTTAAATAAAACTTTATTTTCGGATTTTTTCGCGTATTTATTTAGATTTTTGGTTCCCGGCGTTTCGAATGCTGTACAGCAATCATGGCCACGGGAGAGACTAAGGTCTTAGACATCTCAAAGGCGTTATACATACTGTTGTGTAAAATCGCTTCCGCCTATACTTTGAAATTTCAAACAACGAAACGATAGAAACAGATTTTAATGCATCCTATGAAAATCTTCATTCAGTGCGATCTCCCTTTGAATTTTAATATTAAATCCGAATCGGGACTTTATTAGCGTTGAATGAAATGCTAATAAATTTGGAAATACTTTTTATGTAAAACTCGTTTGAAAATAATGTGTTTTGGAAGAATGAAAGATAATAAGTAAAAGGGAGTTACGTCGTAAATTATTGTTTTTATTATATTAATTTTAAAAGCTCTTTCAGAACTTTTATTTTGGTAGGTATATTATGTTTAAAAATATGTCAAATATTGCTCATTGTTAAATTTGAATTTCATACATTTATAATATGAACAATAATACTTTCTTACGTAACAGAAATATCAACTTTTGCTGCTTTTTCTCTCATTAAAACAGGTCTTGTATAACATAATAATTAAGAAACAAAAATCCCTACCTCATAAGCCAAACTAAAATTAAATTTTAATATGATTTTTTTTATTATAAAAATCTTTAACAAAGTCTCGAAAATATAACATTCTATCATAATCAACTTAAAGTATTTTTAATGACAACACTCTTAGTTGCAAAAATATTAAATGTCAGTAATTAATCTTACCCTTTCACGAGCCGTTAGCCGCAAAAATATTGCAACTTTAAATTTCAACCTCATTAACTGCAAATAAATAGAATGAAAAAGATTGTCATAAAACCCTTTTTAATTTAATTAATATTCATTATATTTGACTTAATTTATTACATTGACGATGTACATAGGTAGATAAAGGTACTTTGGTCAGCGTACTTAAAAAAATATGGCGTATGGAGGATACAAAATAAAATTCTTTATTATTTTAAAAAAGCTAAAAAAAAAAACAAAAACTAGTCTCACTAAGTCTCTTTCGGTAGTTCTTATTAGGACTATGCCTTTTTTTCCGAACTCCTGATAGAAATTTTAATGTATATGAATTAATGTAAAAAGTATTACTATCTCGTTGTATCCAAACAATAAGCATTATAAGTTCGTATTAGACACAAATACCAAAAAGTTTAATAAGGATATCTTGCGATATCAATATATGCAATAAAAGCTCAATCTGCTGACACATGCTATCGATTCAATCAGAAGCAATAGTGGGAGAAGCTGCACCGCAACAGTAGGGCCCCTCGTTACGGGATGTATCACAGAGCTTCATGTCGGGAGCGGTCGTAAAACTTTATGAACTTACGCCCTCTTAACCTATCTGTGACAATCACAGAAGCATAGAGTAATGTGATAGAAACAAAAATATACATATATCAACATAGTCACAAATAATGTTAATAAAAAAAATCAGTTCGCCAGTATAAAAACATTTTTCTTTTACGTTCAATAGCAACTTACTTACTTATGTTCCTATGTCCCCTAGGTGAGGCAGAGGGCATCCCCAGTGCGTCGCCATCCCGTTCGGTCTTAAGCTACGCGTTAGATTTTGCTCCAGGTTTTCCCGATGCCCTTCGCTTCGCCAATGACTGTCCGCCGCCAGGTCTGTTTTGGACGGTAACGTCACGTCTGTTTTGAAACGAATAGCAACTACTACTTGGAAAAATATTTTTTGTGTATTATTCAACTACATGGTGTATCCAATGTGTCAAATTTCATCCAAATCCGTTCAACAGCCACATGAAAACGTTTTTACAACACCCAAAACAACAAAATCCAAATTCCGCTAATGATCAGTGCGCCTAACCATACTAGACTGCCAGTCTATTTCTGCACCCATCTGAGCAAGTATTAGAGCAAATATTATAGTGCAAGCTTGTGTACTAAGTACCCAATATCGTCCTCTAATAGATACGTTTTTTTCTCTCATAGTGTTATAGGATGGCAAATCAAAATAACTGGTGATAAGAAACAGTCAAATATTAAATTATCATTATTTCAAACATAAAATTATTACCTTAAGTCTTACTTAAGCTGAAAAATAAATATCAAACATATCCCATTGCTCTATGGCATAAGGGCTGAGATTTCAATAACGACATCCGATATGTGATTGCTTGAAGATGCTCTACATGGAGCCGTTAACTGACAGACTGACGCGTCAATTTATATGTACATATCTTATATGAAGATACTAAAAGTAGTATAAAAAACGTCAGATATACGATATACATACTAACAATAAAAGCAATCATCCAACTCATCCATAATTTTGATTTTGCTTTAATACTGATAAATTTCAATATTTGCCGTTTAAAATTTTTTTGTGTCTCAGTATGTCATCATCATCGTCGCAGAATTTCTTACATGTACAAAAGCAATTTCAAGACATTAAAAATAATTATTAATGAAAATATAAAATTATATCTTGGAAACGATTGATTTACAAATGTTGGTCAAAATCTAGTCGGTAGTTTACAAATGTTTTAGCGGTTATGAAATCATCATGCCTAATAATAATTGCAATGATATAAATAAGGATGCCTATGACTGAATATTGAACTGAGTAAATATACCCAAACGAGGGTAAGTTCCAAAAAAAATATTATTTCCAAATCTCAAAATAATCATAACAATATAGCCCAATTTTAAAGAGTTCTGTGTGAAAGAGATCAGACCGACCAATCTGGCCAAATGTGGGTTGGTAA